CTGCAGAGTAGCTGGGGGTTATTCCTGCCCAGTTGCAAGACTTTGTTTTTGTCATTGTCACGTTGCTTCAGGTTGCTATTAAGCTCATTCCTGTAGCTCGTCTAGGTCCTTCTGGATGGCGGCCCAGCCTGCGAGTTCTGGCAATGTGCAGGCTTGTCACGCAGGTTGTCTCGTATGAAGCCTATCTGTACTGCGTTTTTGGCTTGTGTTTCTGCTCTCCCCTTTGCTTTCTGACATCATTTCTGTTCCGCTGTTTGGATTGTGTTCTCTGAGAGTTCTATGCGTATGAATTGTTAGCAATGATTTCCATGTTGGGTGTATTGTTGTTACCCTCAAGACAAGCAGAAGTAGAAAGAGGTCAGTTTCCCAGCCAGGACGGAGGGAGGAGGAGAAAGAATTTCTAATTGAGTAACACAGTCTTCAGGGAAAAGCCGAGCTTTGCTGGTTTGAGAGGATTTTAAGTCATCCAGGGAACTTCTTGCCTCTTCAGAAAGCTTGTCATTAGATCGGATGCGCTACCAGATCGTAACATTAAATGTTTTTAACATGAAAAGTCTTATACAAGATCCAAACAGTTCGGATGCGACCTCTGATAGATATTACTAGGCAAAAAGAACAAAACCCAGGCATTTTATTGGAGTATTCTTCCTGTCTTTAGCCTTTTCTCTCACCAGTGAATAAAAAATGTTCACTGTGTGTCACCTCACAGTAACTGAATGTTCGAGGTCTCTTTTTAATGGTTTGAAAATAAAACTAAACTGATTATCTGTTTCCAGCAGGCACAACAGTAAATGCTGGTACTTGTGTTGATTAGCTTTTAAAGGCTTCACTTCCTGGAGACAGTGGGCAACTGGAGTTGTCCCAGAATTGTCCAGTGTAGCTTAGATACCTTCTACAGTATCCGAATAATCCCGTGGAGTGAGGCGTATGTGAGTCTGTTCTCTTTCAATAAAGCATTTTTGCAAGTTGTCAAAACCAAGACATTTTTATCTTGTGGCTTCTGGGCTTGTGATGTTGCACTCTGCATTTCATTTTGACAAATATGTATGTAGAATTAATTTCCTTTCCCCACTTAATCTTTTCAGAGCGCATTAATAGGTTGCTTGTGATTTTTGTCAGTGGTCTGTCATGAAATGGAAGTAGTCCTTTTACAACTAGCAAAGAAACCGTGCCGTTTTCAGATGTCATGCTTTCTAACCTGATCACCTCCAAGTGTACAATCCACCTCCATGTCTGCCTTTCCAAAATTGATTTTCCATGTTGTTGCTTGTCTGGAACTCTACAGAAGAGGATGAGGAAAAAAATAGCTTCTAGGAAGAAATCTCTTGTAGTGAGAATTGGTAAAATATGCTGCTGATTTTGCTCTGAAATGCTTTCTGTGCAACTAAAAGTAAGTTTGAACCATGAACATGTTTTCTGTAACTTTTGCTGTTAAGTCTACATTTTAGGGGACCTAATATATGCTTCTAAATATCTCAAGGGTGGGTGTCAGGAGGATGGGGCCAGACTCTTTCCAGTGGTGCCCAGCGACAGGACAAGGGGCAAAGGGCACAAACTGAAGCAGAGGAAGTTCCAGCTGAACCCGAGGAAGAACTTCTTCCCTCTGAGGGTGACAGAGCCCTGGCCCAGGCTGCCCAGGGAGGCTGTGGAGTCTCCTTCTCTGGAGATATTCCAGCCCCGCCTGGCCGCGGTGCTGTGCAGCCTGCTGTGGGTGACCCTGCTTGGGCAGGGGGTTGGGCTGGGGGACCCACAGAGGTCCCTGCCAACCCCGACCATTCTGTGATTCCCATACCTAACACTTAGTAAGACTCAGCCTGTATTTTAATGCACACAGTGGTAGAAACATTATTGATGACTCAGTACAAAATCCACAATTTTGGATTTCTGGGAAGTTCTAAAAAGAATAGAAATCTTTTCTTCTTTAATATCAGGAAAGTACATCTTATTACCACTTTTCATTTCTGGCTTCTGTGTAGGTCATAACATTTTTAGTTTTGAGGGTGTTCTTACATTTGGACTGGATGTCTTTGAAACAGAATAAAAGAAAATAAAATCCAGATATCTGAAATGTCTCTAAATCTGTAATACTTGCTTTCAGAAGGTCTCGCTTCAGGAATTAAGTGTATGCTCCAGTGAGGTTTTCAGGCTGTTTGTTTAAAAGCAGCTAGCCTGGAGGCAGTATGCATGGTGAGCCCTGAATGTGTCTCACTTTAGCCTCATGCTTCTAGGGTCTGAGCTGAATATTAGTGTTAGTGATGTGATGTCTTCTCTTGGTGCTAACTGCATACGGTTTATTAAATACTGCTGTCCTGGAGATCACGTAAAGCTAATGATAGATTGCTTATTCCTTTCGTCCAGTGAATTTTCAAGCAGAGATTGCAGAAACACTTAGGTAGCAATGCAGGGTTTCTCCAAGGGACTCTGCAGAGAGCACATCTAACATGACACGGCCATGTTATGATTCAACTGCTGTAGAGATGTCTATCTCTTACACGTACAAATAAAATGGTAGGTGTTCATAAAATGACTTGGACTTTCTTCTCACTGGTAATTATTGCTTCTGCTTGCAGATTGGGTACAAAATTTTATCATCAATATTTGTGACTGTAAGGTTACATGCAAATGTGATCTATATTTAGTATTGTTGTATATACTAGTGAAAATCTGGAGTTTACTATCTGAAATAGAAATAATTACCATGCCACTGACTACACTGAACATAACTATTCTTAATTTAGGCTCGTAAAATGTGGAGCTCATGTCTGATAAAGAATGACCAGGTATAGGATGAATATCCTGACATTTGTAAAAAATAGACATTGGAAGAAACAAATTAATAAAAATGGGAATCTGGACAAAAACTCCATGGTCTAAATACGAAGAAGGCAGTCTAAGAAATAGCATAGTAAGTGGATCAGATAAGGGCAGGAAAGAAAACCATGACAGGTGGTAGACTCCATATAAACTAAAAAGTGGTTGTGGTACAGATTTAAAGTTGCAAAGTTGAAACTAATGAAGTGTTAAATAGAATTTTGCATAAACATTTCTGACAAGGCTGAATTGCAGTACTTTCTTGTAAAGTACGATACCTCTGTATAGACTGCAGGCATAAAGATTTTTCATATTTGCTCGTATCTTAAGTAGAATTGTTAAATAGTAGTGATCTCTCAAGCCTTTTGTCACTGAATTTTGCAAATAGGCAGATTAAAATATCTTAAAAGCAAAAACCTGGCTGCCTTTGTAGGCATAGACGGAGTGCTCCAGAATGGTACAGAGGTTCCAGACAGAATTTTTAGAAATTCCTCAGGCATCCTCTAAAATTTAGGACACGTAGTTGGAGACCTCTTCCTTGCCCCTCTGAGTATGCACGGTGCACAGCACAGAGGGAAAGTAACAGAACCTGCCTGTGGCTGAGTTCTTCAGACCCAGCTGGGAGCACTGCTCACTGCTTTTCATTTCGCAGTGGTTCGTGGTGATTGCTTGACCTGAAGTTTCTATACCCACGTAGATCATGCAGTGCATGTAAGAGCAGTTAATTCCCATAATCATATGCCAAATAATCCTCAGTTTGTTTTCAGGAGGAGCCTACTGAGTGTGGAGATGAAAGTCCAGGGTTTCCAGGACTATCCAGTTCCCCTCCTTTCTTTGCATGGATATGAGAAGGGATCTGGCCAAAGAACTGAGTCTAGAGCTTCCTGGTGCAGCACGTCCATCTGCAGCTGCCAGGCGCTGAGCTGCAGGAGCTTCGTCTGTAGGGGCTTTGGACGTCGTCCCACAAAGTTCTTTCAGCTCTTTCTTCTTACTACAAAGAAAGCTCTTTTGCTACAAAGTCCAAAGTGATTCTTACCTTTTCAAACCCGTGGCCTGAGTCAGTGACCAGTGAATCAAAGGGAATTCATCATTTTCCTAACATCTTGAGGAGACTTTAATGTGGACTCTGATTTGTAGACAGGTGTGGTCTGTATGGGCTCAGGTCATAAACTCAAGGGTAATTCTTAGCATGTATTTAAACACGTGTTTCTCATACATTTAAAATAGTTGGTGAATATGGGAGGTCACACACATCTGTCACTGGATGGTGAAACAGTGACTATTTTAATGCTGGAATATCAAAACTATTTTATCAGTGGAATTATCTTAAGAATTTCCTCTGTCTGCAAAAAGAGTAACCCGGCCTTATAACCATGTTCATGTTGAAATGCTTGAAAGAGAAAGTAACTATGCTCACATCATAGCAACAAGAGAAATCCATATGTCATTCTTCAATGTATAATATAAAAGAAAAAAAAATAATTTCTTGCCTGAAATACTGTATATAATGTAAAGCTGTATGAGTGTATTCTACAGATAGTGAAATATACAAAATTTGAAAACACTGATTATTAAATGATGTAATCTTCAAATAATGATTTTTAGACCAGTTTTTGTAGAATCCTGAAAAGAAGTTTCCTTGAGACACTCCTTTTCTCCACTTGTTTTTCAAATATTCCCCTTTGTGTGTACACAGAGCTCTTCCTGTTCCTGGTGGTTCTATTTCATGAATTCTGATACCACTTCACATTCAGGGTATAAACTGTGTCAAAACAAAATATTTTCTGGCATATATATATGCACAGGTGAAATAGATGTATCCACATTAGATCAAGCATTTTGCACTAGAGGAAATTATGAACTAGAAAGCAGTAAAGCAGTTAGTATTGTTGACCTGGTTTGTTGTTGGAGCTGATATTTAACCAGCAGATATTTACACAGAGGTATGAGGTTTCACATACGTATAAATACACCATAGATGGAAAACATAGGAGTCATTGTTTAAGGTGAAGTCTTAAAAACAAGGTGGAAGGCCCAGAAATATTTAGGTACTAAATCTGGCAACTGGAACTTGTTGAATGTATTTTCAATAAATAAATGGTTTAATTCTCTGCTGTGTAACTGAAGTATCTTGGGCTACCCTCTTGTTTCATACTGGCATGTATGTTTGTTTGCACAGGTACGTGCTCACCAGTTAGTTTTACCACCTTGTGACGTAGTGATCAAAGCCGTAGCTGACTACGTCCGTAACATTCAGGACACCACTGATTTGGATGCCATAGCAAAAGATGTTTTTCAACATTCACAGGTAAGGAGGCCGGTAACTAGTGGTGTCCCCCAGGGGTCAGTACTGGGCCCAGTCTTGTTTAACTTCTTCATCAACGACCTGGATGAAGAGTTAGAATGTACCCTCAGCAAGTTTGCT